TAGTGTCGTTGAGCAGAGCTTTTGCTTTGTCTACGTAGTCCGATTTGTCCATGATAACGGTCATCCGTCCTTTGTCCGCAGGTAGAATGATGATGGTTTCATCTTTCTTCAAATTTTCTAATGCTTCCCTTTCCTTGTTTGAGAGAAGGTTGAGAGTTTTGTTTCGTGTGATGGCCAGTACAACAGTTTGACGGAGTTGTTGTTGAGCATTCTCATCCAGTTCAGCGGATTTCATAGCTGCCTCTAGGCTGACCAAGAACTCCAGATTGGTGGCATCTTTGAAATTGAAGTTTAGTCCTTTAACAAGAACATCCTGTTCTTGAGTAGTCAATCGTTTGCTAGAGAGGTTCTTGATCCACGCCTCGTTGTTGGTGGTGATGGTACCATTTTTGTTGTTTCTGATCAGTCTTGAAAACTTGGTTTCTAGAATAATTCGCTTCTTTTCCGCAGCGGACATAACTCTTCGTTCGACGGCTATACTGAGTTCTTGTAGCAGAGCTGGTCCTATCGTTCTCAAACAAGTGTCCCTTTCTTCCATGGCGATGCATACTTACTTCCTAATGCGGTTATGCGCATCCGTTATCATGAGTCTAACCATCCGTCTACCGTTGCTTCTTCCTAGCGCCTCGTCCATTACTGACCTAACCATCCGTCTACCGTTGCTTCTTCCTAGCGCCTCGTCTCTGCATTACTGACTTGATATTCTCATCAGATCAGCAGCGAGATAGCGATTGTCAAACGCAGAGGATCTTCAAGAGTTGCTTGTAGTGGTCATGTCTCTGATCTATGAAGTTGGACAGATCGAACCACAAGCAGTCCGGTGAGACCCATGCAGCTGCAAACATGGATGAACTTATCTACCACATCGATCGGTTCATCTGCAAGCATGATGCTTGGATTGGATCTCGCTTTACACTTACACTTAGCAGATGAAGCGCGTGCTGAATCATTCGACAGAATCATCTGGTTTATCCGAAGTACTTTGCTTTTCTAAAATGCCTGATCCGAAAACAGCAATATCGTCGGCGTACTCAGTATTTATGAGCCGATGCCAAGGAAATTATTTCGATCTCCAAAATGTTAGAGGAAGATAAAGAAAACTCAATCACCATACTGATTACGAAGATGAAGAGAAAGAAAGACAGAGGGCGCCGTTGACTAACATTAGTGGATGTGGTGAACTCAGAAGAGATTTTGTCTTAGACGCGCACGCGTCCATGAAGGCATAAAAACCCTTCATGAGAGACATCCTTCGTTACCGGACACTGTAGCAATTTCTGACGATCAACGGAGTCAAAAACAGGTGATGGAACTAACTGCATAAGGCAATAAGAGAAAGCACCTTGAAGGCCATGGTCACGAGACTGATGCCCTGGTTTCTTCCGCACACACAGTTCTTGAATATCATCGTCCGTAACCAAATCCAAACGGTCAGGATCCATTAATCAAAAAGTGGCCAACCACACAGCTTCTACTAACCACTTCAATGTTACACTGTTCGGTAGAAAGAATCTATGGAAGCTTGTTTAGTCAGAAATCAAAAGAGGCTGGAAAGTTTTCAAAATCCAAACCAATATCGACGTGAACAATCAAATCGGGATTCTTGTAATTGCAATAGTAGATGAATTCTGGTCAGCAAAAAATCGATCAAGTTCGCATTCCGTGGTCCGTTAAGAAGCGCAAAAGCGCCACAAACTGAAGACCACCATTCTAGACGAATAGATAGACAGAAAGCTAGTTAATATTGGAGGCGATTCGGAATGGACGCCCTATCAAATTACCTACTTAAAATATTTGGGCTTTAAGAGCTTGGCAGTATATAAGCCCTCACGTCCCTCCGAAGTTGCACCAAAGCTTTGTACTGAAAGCTCCATAGCTGGTTGTTTTGTATTAAGTGCAGGGATTCGTAGCCTGGTGGTTCGATCTGAGAACTGGTCGAACAACACATTCAACCACACTGGAAATGTCACCGTTTGAAGAGCATTTGTGTCGATCGCAAGATAAGTTCATCTATACAAACTTCTTTCATAGTGGAGGCGAACGTAATAAACATTGAGGTTTCCATTTGTGGTCGTGCAACTCTTATTGAGTTAAGGCACGCCGGCGTACCGATTGGGAATTAACGTGAACAATAAGGTGAACCAAGCCGTTCTCCGTAACATATGTAACAAGCTACAAAGCCGTGAGACAGGAGAAGGCGAATCCTATAAGGCACTAGTATTGCCCATCATGATCGCTTCTATACGGAGAACGACTAAGCAACAAAAAACTCACGTTGATAGACTGTTGGGCCATCTTTGATTTTAAGACCAAATCCCTGATGGCAGCAATCAGAGCCGAACAGCGATCCAAAATAAGCTGGTGCACACGGAGTGGTGTCCCAGGGAGTGTGGAGAAGCTGGTTGTAGCCAGTTGCTGAAAGCAAAGTAGGGAGAAGGTAACATCTGAGATGGCGAAAGTCCTATGGCTGCTTAGACAAGTAAAAACACCCGACAGTGACGACTGGGCGGGGGCTGATCAGAAAGGAGACAGATATCAGGGAACGAGGACACAAAAATTTTCTTTGAAAACGAAGCTTGCTAGCGTAGACTTCCAAAAACGTCCCGGTGGCGGAAACGCTCTACCCCATAACAAAGGCAAAACCATGATATGGCTAGAGTGGTCTTTGTGAAAAGCAAATCCGATACAGGTGACGGATTATGGATTTCAAACAGTTGACGGCAAAACGGGAACTATAGTGGAAAACCATTCGCACAAGCCCACAAAGGGGGAAAGGAAGGGTTACATTACACTGAGTGATGGTATAAGAATGTTAATAAATCTGACAATTTCGGAGTGAATGTAAGAATGTCCCTGAGGATGAAACCCAAAAGGGTACATAGTCCTTCAGGGGACTCCAGCTTATTATCAAGCCATGTGATTCTTATCGAACTATCGGGTTGTCTTAAGAATTTTATTGAGGCATAGAAATGCCCGAACAAATTAAAACGAAAGGATACATTTCGGTTTCAGATGCAGAGATATCCACACGGACAAAGCAAACCAGTGTCTACAGCGGCTTTGGCTGAACGCAGCAGCACATTCTTGGAACAGTAGCTAAGATGCTTCCAAAGGGTCAGAAGGCAAGTCACGATCCAACTTCTTCAACCACATGTCGACCCCAGCAAACCCGTCATCAGATAGTTCCGAAACATCCGTTTCGTGTGCTGCCATGTAACCAAACCCAACCACAACTAGCACAAAGGGCTAACTGATTACGGCCCACCAGCAAGCATTGCGTGCAACAAAAGCATTGAAGCAATGCTAGTCGATCTGGTGACACGACACCGAACTCTATCCCTAGCTGTCTGTCCGATCAAACTGGTTGCTACGCATATCGAATGCTTTAAGTTTCAGTGGAAGACAGCAACATTCCGTGAAATACATGGATGTAGGAGACATCGTTTTAAAGAAACCTACGTACCCTGAACCTTTCTTCTGCCGCGGTCATCGACTTTGCAGTTTCACACATTTCCTTGTCGACAAGAGAAAGCCATTCGATTTCATCATCAGTTTGCTTTAAAACAGAGCGAACGGTTCGCAAGCGGCCAAGAGAGGAATCCAGCTGTTCGAGACACCGAGCGACATCTGGAGTGTTTGGGGACCCAGCGTTCTGATCCGTAGCCAGTGCTTGGAAGAGGTGCACAGCATCCGAAGCAAACTGTTTTGTAAGCAATTGACAGTCTAAAGTCATAAAGTTAGGAAAAGGGTAGTGAGAAACTTCAAAATACGACTTAATTTTAGACTACGAAATCAGTAAACACTCACCATCATCGGACTGTAATGAGTAAGCCTTGTGTTGCAACACGATCGCATAAAGTCGCGAGGCGAGATCGCACACACTGAGCAAGAACTTGTCAGAATCTAAACAGGCAGGAAGCAGAAAAGGCAACAGCAACTCAGCTTATGCAATAAAATGAATGGGACACAAACCGCTGGACTCCACGAGGAGAGTCGGATTCTGTGAAAAAGCGCTTTTTGAAAATGCCGGTTAACCAGCTGAAATGAAATAAGAGCTCTGGTGGCATTTTGCCCAAACACCATTGTCTAGTAAAACGTTTGGAACTGACCTCAGGTGCTGCAAAAACGACCGACGAACGGACGGTTTCACAATAGGATATGAACTGCCGCACACTGTGCTTTGGGCCAGGTACGCAAAAAAGACGAGCGCGATCGTGTACCTGAGTGTTTTGGGCTCCAATCATGCGCCTTGACCCTAAACATCCAGTAACATTCTAAGCTCACGTGGTTGTCTCCCGTGATGGTTGATAGCTGATCAGGCGGGACTTCTGACTATTTACCAGCATTTATGTTTAGTCAACGGTTAGAAGAATGCAGTCAGTCTATTCTCTCGTTTACCACTTATGGGTTGGGCCTGAAGCCAGAAACCACGTTTCGCGACTCACTGAAGGAGGTGCACGTTTGTGAATGAGCTGGGATTACTCATCGTGAGTCGCGCAACTTGGGCCTGAAGCCAGAAACCACGTTTCGCGACTCACTGAAGGAGGTGCACGTTTGTGAATGAGCTGGGACTACTCATCGTGATGTCGCGCAACCAGTGTCGTTATGTCTATTCTCTTATTCTTAAACGGTAAAACACCATTCTTAATTTGTTTTCCGCACCCACGATTCCATCTCTATTCCATGTTATCCAAATAAGTCGCCACACTCCGATGAATCGACCCAAAATACACGGTTGTTAAACTAAATTGAACTGAGGTGCATATCGCAGTAACTTACAAATGATGGCGGGACTCGTTAACGGGACTGGACCTGTAGGTAAACTGTGTTACGAAACTCAAGGAACAAGAGTTCTTAAATCACGCTGTGGAAAAAACCTGAACCTGGATATATGACATCTGGGCACGCCGAGCCAGTGGGCACAAACAAAGATTAGCTTACCTGTGTCAGAAGTCTCCTCTAACAAATCCCTGAACTTCTGGATTTCACTCGATGCGGTTTCCAAGATAGAAACGTAAATATCTGTATTGCGGTTAGAGGGTGAAAAAGAAGGTACGATTAAAAAACACACGAGTCGCCAGAACAAACCAACCTATACCTTACGCAGATAGGTGGTAAGAATGACCTGTAGTTGCGTTACCACGCGTAAGCAGAAAGAAATTTAGGAAGTGATCAAATAACTCAACAGTTGTTACCTTTCCTCCGAGAACACGAGTTTACTGGTTAAAACATTATGGGATTTTTACGGAGCGAAACCGCCAACTTGGTCTCTTGGGTTGTACACTTTGAGCAGACGTCAGTGGAAAAGTGTCGTTTTGGGCCTCAATGTTACCCGAGTCCACCGGGGTGGATTAATTTGAGTAAAAATCGTTCGGCTAATTTTTTAGCACCTACCTATGGTGGATAGAATCGATGGTCTCGGACACAAACAAAATTATGCGCTTAATGCAAATGGAAAAGTTTGGTGATGTTCAGTATCCGAAATGCACAGAACTATGTTCTTGGTTGAATAAAAGAGCAGTTGAGTTCGAATATCAAATTCACTCCAACTTCGATGTCGAAACTTCGAACGTGAAACCCCAATTTTTAGGATTCGCGGTGGCGTTCTTTCCAGCAACAGAAAGGGGGGTCCCCGAGACTTGCAGAGGAAACCAGTCTGATCGCCAAGGCAAACAAAGTGCCGGAATCTGGACAGTATGCTCCGCACTTGATCAAAAAAGCGTTCGAACACACGATAATCCACTCAACAATTTTAACAGGCTAATCATGCGAGATGAATCTATCTCCACTTATACCAACCACATGACGGTAATTCCGCCGTTTGTAGGCCCTTTCCCTTTTCGATCATTTTCACCATATAAACCCTTGGGAAAGGTAGCATGTTGTGACCCGATTGAACTCTGAGTAAAAAAATTTCAGTGAGCAGCGGCATAATGCGCAGTCTACTCGACGGCGGCGAACAACTTATAGTGAACCTGTACAGAAATCATTTAGGAGAGTGACAAACTTTTTATCGTGCAAATTCGAGACAAGCACAGAATGTCCTGTTTGATCACCATAAGATTCTGATAACCGCGCTCCAGTGTCCCTCTCCCAAAAAATCGCAAATTCGTGCATTCACAACGATACAAGCAGTATATTCTCGTGCCCATTATTATGCCACCCCGCTAAAACCAACTGGTAGCTCCCGAAATATCTCGGCAAGGCTACACTCGACCTTCATCCTACTTCGGGGGATTCAGTATTGCTGCTTCCATAAATATGGACATGCTAATCGCCTGCAGAAAAACCATGCTGTCTTCACACCCGTATCAAATAGGACAGTAAGACCACCCTGAAACCACGTAATTCCACGAATACTCGACGTATGGGGGTTTATTGCCCTCTGTCTGGTTCCTTCTCTTTGGCCTTCATGGCATGGTTGTAGTTGAGGCCCACGGGATCATCACAATCCAATCGCCACTTCAATGGCAGCTATCAGCAACCAGTGCCTACAGTGGTGCACGGAAACCCCTCAAATGTCAGATAGTCAAAAGCCTGAGGAATGATACAGAACGCCGTTGGGCTGCGAAAGCCAAGTGAAGAAGGCTTCCACTGCATGAAACAATCAAACCCTATTTTAGCTGATCCGATCAAGTATCCAGAAGCAGACGAGTGTCAGTGGAACAATTTGCGATGTGACCATTAGCAGAATCAACGTTTTGAGCGATGACTTGAACAGTTTAAACAATCCCACCTGTATCAACGAAACCGGTAGAAGAATCGGACGAACCTATGGAACACTGACACCGGTCCGCCACCAGCAACAGAAATTCAGCACGAAATGTCACTTCTTCAAAACGGTCTGAATGGTTTGCTCCCTGTAACCCTCGGAGAAAGTAATAAACCTTTGATGAGCAGTCTGGCCATAATCTACGCGAAGGAATCCAAAATACTGGCGACTTTGAGCACTTCGACTGTGAGGGGGTGAAAGTACGTTGTGTAAAAGCTGTTGTGACATCAACTTAGTAGCCGTGGCATCCGAGATGAAGTCTGATATAATCATGCATGTTGACAGCTTAGATGGAGAGATAAATTCGTGACAATCAAGCCGAGTTTCGCCCTAGTCGATGATGCATTGACCGTATGTATACTCTGAGACAGGTTAACTCCACTCTTCCAAACGTCCAGAGTTGACCGTTTTTCCTGATCCTGAGGCTGCTTGACTCTATCTATCTCTTGAGTGTCTATCCCTTATAAAGGTACTCCTGTGCGTACGTGCGGGCATAAGGCACAAATACGCCTGAGTTCATCGCGTCCAGCGGTTACGACAAGACTGACCTACCTCACCATTCCCCTTCATGCCACTCGAAACTGCCCGATCTACCTCTGAAAACTCGGAGATAGAAATGTTCCCGAGACGCTCGTCAAGACCTTGAGTACACAACAATATCGATCTCATTGGTTCAGAGCCATAGAGAAGTAAGACATCTTGAATAATCTGAGTATTTTTCACACTTAATGTTATATATGCATTTTGGTTCAGCAAAGTGGACTGTTGCTAACGGACCGGCTGGAATCGAACTCACACCTCCAGTTTGCAGACGAGCCAACCAATGTGACAGATAATCCTATTTACTTCATTTATTCTCACATTATTTCCAGGTCAATCCTGGGAAGCACAAGGATCGATAAACCAGCAGGTTACATGGGAAAGAAATCGCACGTCATTGATAGAATTATACTCGCAAAATTTTCCCATCAAAACCCCTTCTTGCATTGAACTTTCATTGTAGAGGATATGACACTGATGTATCCGATGTATTTAGAACAGCCTATCTAGGGTACAAACCAACCACGCAGGAAAGCTTGTAGTTTATAGACCAGGGTTTATCCCTGCGCTTGTCTATGTAAACTTCAAGAGCATGAAACGACCATCAGGTAAGTCATCTAGAACATCATAAAACTGATATCGCAAAACCAGATGTTCGAAATCTCCCGTGAAGTGGCCAAGCGCATAAAAAGACCTAATTCGCAAGCTGAGTGTCTATCAACAACCGCTCCGAGCGCCCAGCACATTGAATGGACCCGCCAAGCCAAGCATACCTGGTTTCACCCGCCCTGTCTAACCGGACACTCCCACACGCAAAGAAGTAAGGTTTCTTCGAGGTAGGTTGTCGACTGATAGTCGACATGCGAATGGCGTTGCTTTTCACAGCTCTCCAGTTCACTATATGGAAAAACGTCATTTTAGAAAGGAAAGCGTCTTTAGGTCGATGCTTTCCACCTTTCAAGTAACCTCACAATACAGGATGCAGAAAAGTGAAGCAATCTTGTCAGAGCATAATTTTCGGTATGAAATCCGGAAAATCATTGTCACCTGCGTGACCGAAACAGCGACCCCAGCACGTATGTCACTAGTCCAGCAAACGATAGTTTGCTATTGAGAACTCGAGATAACTGTGGGTAAAGCGCGAACTTACTGGCCGGAAAGTTCACGATTCGAACCAAACCCCGGAATCTCGACTGCTCCTGTCTAGGCTTGGGTAGTATCTCAGCCTTCATGCTTCCTTCGGGTGGCATAGCAGCTATGCACCGAAAGGGTCACAGCTGAGCGACTGATTGACTGAAAGGGATGCTGGATGCTCATGCCATACAGATGGCTGTCCTGCTCTCTTAGTTCAACTAAGCCAACAGAGTTACAGCCACAAAATGGAAGTATCTGAGGTACCTAGAAGGGAAGTCGGTAAGTTTACCTGTAGGACATTCGCACTGCTGGGCACGCTCAGGGCTGCTGAGTCTGTTGAGAAAGCAGTCAAATCCGTCCATGATGCGGGCACATGTCAAAGACAACAAGCGGTCCTGATATTTCTGTGGGGCACTCGTTCCATTCATATGAACCACGGCGTTCTGTACAACTGGATGAGTCTGCGTGTTGCAAAATGAAATAAGGGACTAGTTTACAGTGAGGGCGATTTTCTATTCACAGCTACGAAAGTATGGCAAGACCCAAAAAACCATCAACCTCTTGGTTCAATTCATAAGGCTACATTGCACTTGGAACAATGCATTGGATATCGGAGAATATCGCAAGCTTTTCTATAGAGGAGAATGTCGGTAGCTCAGGTAGCGTAGATGGTCATTGGCTTGTTCGCTGAGCTGGGCAATTTGGTTGCAAACGTTTCATCACCAATCGAGGTGACATCATCAGTGCGTAGTTGTGCGTAGCGGTGGGTTAGTGGTTGTGCGTTCAGTAGTGTTACGTGTGTGTTGATATACGTGCTGGTAGCCGGGGATGACCTTTGACCGCGCTTAGTTATTCTGTCGGGCGGTTCCATTGGTTGTTCTTTTTATCCCGTGTCCTCATTCGCCGATGCCCACGTGACTTTTGAACTTGACATCCCTCGCCGTCGTAGTCCAGTCGATGTTGGACTGATTACACAATGCTCCAACTTTCTAATGCACTCAGCGAACCAAAGTCCTTGGATAACTAGAGGAAAGGACCAATGGGCTTGTTGTACGACCCACGCTCGATAGCAACCTTTAACCGGCCGCGCAAATGTGCCGAAACACCACGTAATTAATATCCTTATGTTTAACTTAGAAAAATGGTTAGGTGTCAGTCGGCTGGCGCAGCTTATTATCCGCACCGAAAGGGTAACTGGTCTGTTCAAATGAGACGTTTAACTCCATTTACTCAATTCATACTCTGTTAATTGCTTCCTTCGTCTAGCTTACTCTTTTTTATTAACAATGGCCTATATTTTTCGTTCGCTCGTGATTACTGGGTGAAAACACGACAAATCAGAGTCAAATGAGTTAGGTTACACGTTATGGCTACCAATATTGATGATTCTCGAACCGAAATCCAACAGCCTGGAGATTTAGAAAGCACATGTTTTAAAGGAAAACAGATAACTTTCGATACGCAAGCCAAAACTAGAGAGCGTGGAGGAAACTAACACGTTTCCAGAAACGACAGACGGTAAGTAATGGCACAAAAATGCATGGACAAAAAAGAATAGGTCGCGCGGAAGTATATAGAACAAACTTGTGCGCAAGAAATACACCTTCTCACACGTCAATTCCCATCAGAACCTATCAACCGGTCCCATTCTTATTGCGATAATGCTTTGAGCACTTCATATCATTGTTCCCTCTCCTTTTGGTAGAACATATTGGGTTAGCAGTTTGTAATACAGCCCTTGCATACAGTCAAGACCTACTTGTTACTGATTACACAATGCTCCAACTTTCTAATGCACTCAGCGAACCAAAGTCCTTGGATAACTAGAGGAAAGGACCAATGGGCTTGTTGTACGACCCACGCTCGATAGCAACCTTTAACCGGCCGCGCAAATGTGCCGAAACACCACGTAATTAATATCCTTATGTTTAACTTAGAAAAATGGTTAGGTGTCAGTCGGCTGGCGCAGCTTATTATCCGCACCGAAAGGGTAACTGGTCTGTTCAAATGAGACGTTTAACTCCATTTACTCAATTCATACTCTGTTAATTGCTTCCTTCGTCTAGCTTACTCTTTTTTATTAACAATGGCCTATATTTTTCGTTCGCTCGTGATTACTGGGTGAAAACACGACAAATCAGAGTCAAATGAGTTAGGTTACACGTTATGGCTACCAATATTGATGATTCTCGAACCGAAATCCAACAGCCTGGAGATTTAGAAAGCACATGTTTTAAAGGAAAACAGATAACTTTCGATACGCAAGCCAAAACTAGAGAGCGTGGAGGAAACTAACACGTTTCCAGAAACGACAGACGGTAAGTAATGGCACAAAAATGCATGGACAAAAAAGAATAGGTCGCGCGGAAGTATATAGAACAAACTTGTGCGCAAGAAATACACCTTCTCACACGTCAATTCCCATCAGAACCTATCAACCGGTCCCATTCTTATTGCGATAATGCTTTGAGTCATACATATCATTGTTCCCTCTCCTTTTGGTAGAACATATTGGGTTAGCAGTTTGTAATACAGCCCTTGCATACAGTCAAGACCTACTTGTTGTATATGTGCACCAAAAGAATCTATGAGCGGTTTTGGCGAAACCATCCAGTCAACCAAACCATTGGAATGGAGCACAGCATCACCGTCTCCGTAGCCATTTTCAGACACTTTCAGATCCATGGTGTTTACTCCCATCAGCTGTGCTTCGAGTGACTGCGCGTAGTGGTATGTGGGATAAAAAGAAACAAAAAGTCCATGTGTATCTTTGAAAAATAATATAGAAGTGTGGGAGTCTCAGTCGTACGAGCTGCAACAGCCGGACAACCGAAATGAGCTTGTTACGGTGCACTTGATATATCGTTCTGCTTAAGATGGCAATAAGCATTGAACTCGGGGGGGGGGGCAAGATTCATAATGCACAGTAATTCGTAGACCACCTATTGCCTAGGACTGTATGACAGGCAAAATACTAGCCGCGACCGGTTAAATTGAAAACAGAGCAACTACTTAAGAGTGTAGAAGAGCTATGCTAAATGCGGTTGGACGATCATTAGCAGCCGGGAGCAACAGCCAGATGGATTAGGGACATTCCGGAACCAAATGTCACCACCGAACTTCTCAAGCGTTAGCATATATGGTTGCAGATATCCTACTTAGAAAGCGAAACCTCGTAAGTACCTTGCGGAGTTAAATAAGAACCGGAGATGGACTACTCACATAACGCGCACAAGGACCGGTTTTCAAACGGATAACTTAATTCTGCAGCACATTTTCTAGCTCGTCACAAAACGGCAGTTCATTTTCGACATGTGTGTAACTTGATACAATGCATAAAAAAGCACCAGAATGTGTGCACACACAAAACATCCTCAGGTCAGAAAATCGTGTATCACCTATCAGTTCGACTGCACTTTGTATGAAGCCATTCCCCGAAATATCACGTCCAGTAGCCTCCATACAAACGAAGAGCCATCAGTTCACTCTAAGGGCGTGACCTCAAGCTCGGTCACCTGATCACATTGCAGTCACAACGAAACCACATATAAACTGATAAATTCAGCACTGAAAAAATACGTTTATTGCGGCTTACCAATGCTGATTTCATTTTGTTGACAAAGCCAACGGGATCTACCTAAAAACCGCTCAAACCACCTTGTCCAAATGGAGGATATTAAAAGAAAGAAAGAAAGTGATCAGCTGTAGCACCCTTCCGATGCCTAGCTGCCATCCTACCCGAAGGAAGCACGAGGGCTGGGATACTGCCAGGTTGCCTAAGCCTAGACAGGGGAAGTTGAAAGGCGGAGGTAGGATTCGAACCACGGACCTTCCGGTCAGTGAATTCGCACTCTTATTACTTATGCAACCTCGCCCCGGATATTAAAGGATGACCCTAACTACCTTCACATACGTAACATGACATCAGTGTTCAACACCCATGCTTCACTGCTAAGATATGTAACCTCAATCAAATTGGCTGACTAACGTGAATGTCGTTGTGTTTTCGCTGGCATCATTCCGGTTAGTGGTGGCACTGAGGATCAGATACGTAATCTGTTTTTCTAATGTCAGAGTAGGTCAGCTAATTCTTCGTCTACTAATAACGTGGTCGCACGACCACACGCTTTTCCAGATTGACGATGGGAAATATTGGACGGGTTTTTCAATTCAGTCTCTCCGCCTGTTCCTAAGATATCGAAGTACACAGTCAAACGATTTCGAGCAACATATGATATCATTCTTCATAAGCGAGATGGTCGAACATGAATTGAAGAAACGTGTACTTTAATCCGCGCGATTACGGGCTTCGAAACAGTCAGCCTATGAAATAGTGCGATAGTGTGAACTATTTCTTGCATCATAAATAACCTTTGGTTTTGACGTTGGTACTTGGAATTAGGTCGAGAAGAAAATCGTCATAAACATCCAAATAGCGACAAAAGACAGTTTGTGGGATGCGATTTCGAACGCATCACCAAAAGTTAACGAATAGAAGTTAACGATTGAAGAGCATATAGTGCACAGCGGTGTCACATATAAACAAAGGCGATGTCTGGTGGTCGTTGGTTTGTTCGCTGAGCTGGGCAACTTGGTTGCAAACGTTTTATCAACAGCCGAGGTGACATCATTGTGTTGCGGGCAGAAGTGTGTTTTGGATTGGGAAGTGCGCACTTGTTGCACGTAGTCTTACTAGTGTAGTCAACAAAAGTTCCAGATAGGTTAGAAAATGGTGTCTTGCTCTTATTGTGGCAATGTCAAAGTTTAAACAGAAACCGATGGTCATTTATGGCATTTGGTAGTAGAAGAATCGGGATTCCGGCAAAACATAGAATGACAATCACTGAATTGATTCATACTGTTTATGATGAATGCAGAAAAGTGTTATCTTGACTGCGCATCTGGTCTTCTGTAGCTCTACCTTTACTGACTTCACTGCAACTGCAGGTAGAGCAGTACATACAATTTGATGTTAAGAGTATTTGTGGAAGCCCTGTGACTAGCGCTAACGGCATACTCTTGAATTTATACTGCTATAGAGTCTTTTGGATGCTTTGTCCAGCAAGGGTATACGCTTTCCACATATACAGACGTACATTCGTTGCTGTTCAAGTACGGATTGGCAAGAGATAGATCCATTAATTAAATTGTATGATTCTGGACCTTACAATGTATGTGTAATCGCCTGAGATAAGAAGCACATGGCCCCTCGCTTTGTTCTGCCTAGGATAACCGATCAACAATCATTCCTGATCCGTGACCCACACTTTAATAGTGTTCAGTCACACCGAGATAACGTAGGTCGATCGGTGTGAGTGTACAGAAGAGTCATCGTTTTTGCTGTCACTGACTTTCCACTCTCATACAAGTGTCGCATGCACACCATTCCTGGAAAGAAAATATCTGAAAATAATTTACATGATAAGTGCTTATCAGTGGACCGTGAGTAACAGCAGTGTGCCTGACTTTCCTGCTCTTTCCGTTGAAGTTGAAAAGAGTGCAGATGTTAATTACAATGTCAATATTACAGTAATACTCCCGAAGAAAGTTCAACACCAAGACGGCAACCTGCATCGGTGTATGAAGTCACGGAGGAGTGCGCGGAAAATCTAGGGGGACCAGAAATCATTATTCAAACAAAATGTTCACTAGACTTCTGATTTTGTCCCCTGACAAAAGTGTAGTGCGACTCATGATGAATATTGTCAAACTTAAGCATAGATTTCGGTTTTGCTCTAAACCGGGCTGCCTGAGTAACTCGGGTATCTCAATACCGTATATGAACGTCAGCTGTAGGTCCCTTTTTTATTTTTATCTCGTTTTTTGGGGGGCTACAGCCGGAATTTTCGTTCATATCAAAACCTTATCCTCGCGCAAGTGATGAAATTTACAATCGGTGTCGAATGGCGTCGCATGGTCACCCAAAAAGTCGCTCAAAAGACAGCTCCCATCCGAGAATTAGCTTCCGTTTTGGGTTTAAATAGATCCGAAGTCCCACTGCAGATTTCTCCAGACATAGCTACCTCACCTCTTCGGATATAGTATTCTAAGTAAACCTTCAGCCGCACACTGACAGAAGAAAATGGTATCTGCACCCTAACTTGGCCCGGTTTTCAGGTACTTAATCACAGGTGTCTTCATGGCAGAAAATGATTTAGCTGCGTGTTCACAGTAGAACGGCACGTAAGCCAGCTACTGGTAATGAATTAAAATAGTTGTAGAAGCACATAAGCCAGGATGGCGGCCTTGATAAGGCTTATCAAGAATACTGGATCAATTCTGCCGATGGCATCTTGCTTCGGTGCGATGCCCTTTTTTAGTTCAGTGAGTTTTAAGGGTGTTGGCACTTTGTTCTTGATAGTTCCTCTTAAGGAATCCACTGTTTCTCCGTTCCACTCACTACTAGGGTCTTTTTTGTTGATTGCTGTATGGGCGTTACGTATCGGCATCCACTAAAAGTGTATTGCTGTGAACTGTCTCCACTAGCCCATTGAAGCCCGTAATGAAATGCATAAATTGCCGGCGATGGCATACTTACTGAAATCCGATGGCGGTAGGGGAGAACTGGGGTTAGGAATGGAAAACTATGGCTGAATAAGTGATTCCCCGGGTTAGTCTGTGCGGCAATGATTTTCGGGACTTTTTCAAGGCTGGTAACGTCTTCGTTGGCAATGAAAGGCTAAACATAACACTGATTGAGTCAAAATCATAGGATTTTGGAACTGTGGTTGCATTTGTCCAACTAACTTAGTTAGACTTTTAGGAGCAGTTTGACATTCCTCAATAGATTAACTTGCGTTCCACAACTAAGTCATTCATTTTGCCAACTGGCCCTTAATGCTTACTCAGCAATTTTCTATAGAGCATGAGCCTTTCTTTGGAGGAATGCTCCTCGAGAAAAGAAATTGTGGACTCTTCAGAAGGTTGAGTGATCGCTTCAGAGTCAAGAAATCCTATATAAATCTGGTTAAGAGTTCCTGTTGTAAACTCTCCTGGGGAGTGATCTCTTTCCAAAGGGGTCTATCTTTACATGAAAGCTGCTAGAAAACACTGTAATGGCTGGGAAACGGGTAAGTCATAGTTGGACAGAAAATGCACGCTATCACGTGACTTCATAATGGGTCACCAGAAGCTTATCCCCCAAAGAAAACATTATCTGGTAGGCATGGATCAAGTGGTCACACTTAATGGTTACCTCAAACTCCACCTCGATTATAAAGATCGTTTGCAAGGTTACAGGAAACAAATATTTTGTCATAATGTATGCTGTATCTGGAAAAACCTCATAGGCTTGATCAAGAGTGGGATCTGATAGGACAGAACATGAAAATAGCAACCCACAGTAAATACCTACTCGACTAGGAATCAGGTGATCCTAAACATTCTGTGCAAAAAATATTGCGAATTATGCGAATACCCGGCTTCCAGAAGAAGACAGCTTTGTCGCGGGTGTCAATCACATGTTCAACACAGTTACGCATAGGACAAGAAATAACTTACTGAAACTTGTTTCATTAGATTTGTGTTTGTTCGTTCCAACTCTTCCAGCGTAGTTTGATTGGTAGCTAGCTGAAACCGCAGCGTGGGAATAAAAACTGAAGGTATCATCGCTAAAGGTAGATGGTTTCTATGCTTCCCTGCGCACAGAACAAACAATAAATATACATTACCTAAGTTCGCCCTCGTCTGAAGATAAGCCAGCACTTAAAGCGAATAGCGTCAATACTTCGTTGAGGTTTCTTGGCGTCTGAAGATTCATGGCGTTAGTCCGAGGCGACATTATGCCCTAGATAACCAGTGGCGGTCTGTAAAGATGACACACTAGTCTATGACTATTGTCAGCAGACTTGTTCTTCATTTCCACCTCCATACTTTTAAACCAATTCATCACCCTATCCGATTGTGACCAGTTCCGAAACACCCTATGAAAACACCACCGACCAAGCTAGAAATAGCGCAGTGCTTAAGGTGCGAATCCAGTTATGAAATGGTACGTGGTTCGAACCCAACCCAGGAGTCTAGACTGTTCCTGTCTATCTATCGTGCTTCATCCGGGTGGCATGGTATGGTGTTCAAGCTTATTCGACACACTAATTATTTACTGCGTGGCTAAGCAAACCGGTCCTAGGTGCGAATGTCAGGGCCTGGCTTTGTTATGAAGGTCATCAGTCTAACTGGATGTGATCGTCACCGAGCTAGGACATAATGTCAACATCCCGATGGGTTCAAATCACATCCCGCATATTGATAATTTCGCCACACCTTTACCGCCTGAGAACCGTCATGGTGCAGAAAGCCAACAGTGACGTTTTTAGGCCACCGGGTTCAACAATATACGGAAAGTCACTTTACAAATCAATGAACACCCAAACACATTGATAGACACGTCCCCACACAGTCGGTCTGAGTGCGCAATAGAGAGACCAAACGAAATCATCGAGCGATTGAGGCTGTTTTACGGTTGCCATCGTGCTTGAGGTGATTCAAAATCACAAAACGTACCTCAGCATCATTCATTACACACCTCAGTAAAAAAGGAAAGGCGTCCCGATGCGACTTTTCGAATGGCTTGGGATCAAAAGAAAGGAACTTCCATTTCAAACTAAGGTAACCGAAGGGTTTCACAGTCTTAGTGCAAGCAGTTGCAGCAGTTCCCTGTACATATTTTCGAGTCCCGGTCTGTCCGAGAAACATGTTACAAATGATGCCGAGGCAGGTTTTCATGGTTTGGAGTCACCTCAAATTGAAAAAGATACAGAAAACTGAACAGGTGAAAGGAAAGTCTCACTCCAATTCGGGCTTCAACTCACGCACTGTAGAACTTTCTCCAAGTAACTCATCACGTTAGATGTCTCCGGATACACTTCAAAAGTCTCTATCACCTTCTCAGCACTTTCAGAACATTCATAGAGAGGAAAGTTGAGAAAACACGGTTGTTCAATTCAGATATCAAGGTGAGTTCGCTGTTACTACAAGCGGCCTCATTAGTTATATTATAACGTGATATTTGATCAGTTGATATGGGTTTTTGGCAGTAATTTGAAACCGGCTGATTCCGGCATAAAGCTTATGCAAAAGTTGTGCTGGTCAACAAGTTGGCTACGATCGCTCATGGGACTGTGAATTAATTCGACGTTTACACAATCTGAGTCACCGAGGTCCTCACCAAAGTAAACAGGGGAAAAACACATCATAATCAAAGGTTGCAAAGCAGCGCAAGCAGCCAAGGAAGCTTGGGTGACTTGAGAACTCACATCACGCAGCAAAGTCACATGTTCATCACGCAGCTTGGCATAGACATGTTTAAGTTTGACAAACTTTTCCTCAAATGCTTCTGCCCTGTTAGCATTCAAACGTGCCTTTGTTTCCAATTCCTCACAGTACTGAAAAGGACCGAAAGGTTAGTGATTTGAGTCTAGCTTCGATTGTTATACCAATGAAAGCAAAAAAACAGGTTTGCTTCTGTTTGCACAAATCCTGAAGAGTAACGCAAATTTTTACTACCGACTTCATGCTGTTTTGAAGGGAGAAGGATTGCCGAAAACGTTCGTTAGCTAACGGTCGAGCTTTGACAGTACGCGAGTTTCCAGTGAATTTTGAAATCATCCGGTATACGGAGTCAGTGGAATACAGTGTGACGGAACTCTGTGAAATGATACGAAATAAAGAACTGCTCTACCGTATAACAAACAGAAGTCGAGCCTTCCATCAAAATATGTGCAAACAGTCACTCTTAACCTGGGATAGATCCACGGTGTACTATAGAGCTCCTCACATTGCTTAAGAAGAAAAATCTAAAATCTTTCTCAGAAATCCCTTAAAGAAGCACTACATATGTTTTTTTAGTCACCTGCTGCTGGAAACAAGAGTCAGAAGACGTATGACAATAGACAAGAAAGCAGTGCTCCAAGCGACTCCTACATCAAGCGTGATAAGTTGGGGCCAACAACTGAGAAATTCTGTGAACCTGTTAACGAATGCTCGTTGACCATCACAGACGTGTTTCGAAGCAGATACCGAAACGAATAGAATATGCGCTACACGAGGGCCGGTGACCGAGCCTACCAGTCTCATGCACAAGTGAATGGTCAACAGTGAAGACGGGAAGATCGCTCAGTGACTATGTCATAATGATCAAACTCTTGATAGTAAAAATTTACGCTGGGTAAAGTTCCGGCCTAGTCAGTTGCAACAATCAGATACATCGGAAAGACTAGAAATAGAATGAGGATTGGAGACCTTAAAGAAGACAAACAGTCGGTTACCATAAGAAAAAGCAGACCAGTCCAGGTCATTTATGCTACCGTAAATCAGACATTTATGTACTATACATCGGATCACCGCAAAAGTCGGCAACAAAGACGTGAGAAAAGTAGTGGGCTGATAAACAAGAATAAGCAATTAGATACGAAACTGCCACTGTGATAGAATCATGTCCTCAACCATTACTGCGAGGGGGTACCCAGTAAAAGTACCTCACAGACAACATCATGACTAAGACCCACGCGTGTGTTGTTCGTGCTTCATGTCTGAGACAGGTACTGTCCGCCCTAAGATACTTTCCTGTCATAACTCCCTTGAGCAGTTAGCAGACGTATGAAGCGCAGTATCGAGCAGTCACAAGTGGTGCAGACTGGTCGGATTACGTAATCGACCTACTAAAGCATTTCTAATCCCATAGTTCATGGTAGAGTACAATATTTTGAAGGTATCAATGATGAACAGCCACGTCTTATCTCCAAATTCCACTATAATCGAGTAACACTACGTCGTGGGTCATGAATTTTTCCACTGATATCACGTCAGTTCCATGATTGAGTGAAAACATTGATTACATTGGCGATCACGTCGTAAGTAATGGTGGCATAGGAAACGAGGCAACTTCTCAATGAATATCAGTCACCTCTTGTAGTTCAGTACTACTTTTACTCTGAAGGCGCAAAGGTCGGCTTTGCAGCACAGAAAGTCCGCTAAAATACATGCCACTACAGTGACCTAATATAGAAGCTTGCCATAGTAACGTAGGACGATAACCGTTAGTAGTTTAAACTGAAGCTCCGATGACCGCCGCATTCTTAATAACAAGAAGGGCAGCTGAAGGTAAATACAACAGAAGACGGAGAGTAAAGACAATCAAAGGGACTATTGTATGCAACATTCGAAGAAATAAATCGTCTTCTAATATTCAGCCGCATGAGAATAGCGGTGCGAAACGTCCCTTCCGACGGCAGTGTTTAGCGGCCACATTATCCTACTAAACAGAGCACGAACCTTATCCGCTACCACACCAGAGTTCAACTTCGAATGCACAGAGTTATCTGTCGGTATCGGGTTAGATAAGAGGCGTTGGAAACCACCGAACATCCACAAACATAGTAGGAACATACTTCCTCCCGTAAGGATTTTTGCTGTACGACATCTTGAATTTCGCTTTCCAAGGCCTTGATCCGTTCGACGAGCGAGCTAACAAATCGCTCATGCTACATATGCAAAATAAAAAGCAGCGATTAAAATATGGGTTTCTATAGGGTCTAACATGAAAAAGAGAATCAGTGTGAGTTTCAGATAACACAGAAGGAGAAACCTTGGTCTGCGAACCAAAGTTATGTAACCACACCATAAAAAAACTCTTCGTTCTGCGTAGAGACTGAAATCCAAAGTCCAGCCTTTTGATATACCGAGTTGCTGCCAAATGCAACCGACCAGACTTAACGACGTACCATGCGAATTATCGTTGAACCGTACAGCAATCGTGTCTTGAGCTTGGATTGTCTGATAAAAGTTCGACAGCATGCGTCCTACCTCCAAGAAAATGTGCAGTAAGTAAAATCCACTGGAAGGATTAACAAGGTGGTGATCGGATCTGAAAAAACTCACCTAAGAATCGCAGCCAAATGGTACAAAAACATTTATCAAATATCAGCCGATATTTGAAGAAACCCCTTTAAACGATCAAATATCCCTTCAGAAGACGATACAATGTGGTGTATAACGAACAGGGCCTGTTTTCTGCCAGAAAACTTCTCGGACGAAGAAAGGTATATGGTTGCGATAACCAACAGTCCCAGGATGAATTCAGAAATAGTGAAGTATATCGAGCTTCATGCAGGACAGTACTTCTCCTCAAGGCAACGCTCGCATTGATCAGACAATGCTAGCGTCATGGAATTTCTCTCATTGTCTCACTCCTGAGGAAACAACCCTCACCCAGAACCAAGAAAGAAGTGATTTTTAGTTGTCCCATATCCCCCAAGAGGATGCATAACAATGACATTGTTGTCAATAACCCAAATTTATCATTTGCCTAAACTATCAGAGGCTCCCCGACGTTATCAAGCTTTGAACCGGGCCTGTGAGAATATGTGCCTCGATTCCCATCTGGCTTTAGTGAGTAAGATAACCTCGGTATTTACTACCAAGTGGATACATTATGACTTTTCTTGTAGGGACAGGTAGCTTGACGCTAGCTAATTATGCACAATGGCGATGCAGATAAGAGATGACATTCGAGCGGGGTAATCTGGTGTTATCACACTTGGCCTAAAGCCACAACCAATGTTAAAACGTTACTGTAGCAGAAATTGTAAGTCAACTAATCGGTCCGGCTGAGTCGTGGAAACAACTTCCGCCGTTGCACCCCTGGTTCCTGTGACGAGAACCCAACTTGTATAGCATTATTATACTGATTTATCCCCCCCCCCCCCCCCCCGAGATCCGTGCATTGGATAGTGTGTTGGAATAGCCCTACCTCCCACGATGCTTGACGGAAGTGGGGCATTTTTGGTGGATGCGGAATTTGTAGAATTCGCTTTTGCGTCATTTTCTTTTCAACAAGGGAGAATAAAGTGATACGTTCAGCTGTAACACCCCTTCGGAGCCTAACTGCCACAATACCAGAATGAAGCACGAGGGCTGGGATACTGCCAGTTTCCCCAAGCCTATATAGGGGAAGACGAAATGCATAGATCGGGTTAGAACCACGAACTTTCCGGTCAGTAAATTCGCGCTCTAACCACTGAACCATCTCGCCCATCGATAAGAATACCGGTTGGAGTGGGCATGAAAACGCAGTGGAGCGTATCCGGCAAGAAGGAGTCGTCAGGCCAGTTGAATTCTGTCAGGATGATTAACTGTCATGAAGTGCACAGCACAACAAGGAACATATGTTCCGGCCACCGAATGATGGTATGGAGGTAATCCGACTAAGAAAAAGCGATTAGGGCTGCATCGAGAATTGATCAAGCAAGGGAACGTTACAAGCGGTTAAAACCTTCACCAGTTACCCTTTCACAAGAAGTCAATATGACGATTGAGTAGTTTCCGCCCCAACGGGACTGCAGTGACAGGACCTATGTGAATGGATCACCAACATCTAGTTTTCTTCAATCTAGTCGTCCCCCCCCCCCCAAGTTAGACAATAAAACAAAGCACACAACACTCGCCTTATAATCAGAGGGATAATGTTATGATGAGCACCGAAACCTTACCTTACAAATAGTACAAATTCACCGTGTTGGGAGACTTACTAACAAGTAGATATCAAAGGGTCGGCCAAATATGATGGGAGAGAACTACTTGCCATCGTTGCGCAGAGGCTTGATTTATTAGTTCATTAGTGATGGCAGGTCATCCTAGGACTGGCAATGGAAGACTAAAGGCGAGGTCACCACTGAAGATTCGAACAACAGTGTTTCCGAGACAAATGCAGCGACGCCAACATATACTTACCTCATCTTTAAGATGATGAACCTCGGATTTGAGGAGCTCCGTTTCGAGAAGGAATTCGTGACTAGAATGCCATAAAAGCGAGTGAAAAGCAAAGTGGACGTCATGCAAACAATGTCATGGAATATCGGGTAAGATTAAAGTACGTTCACTAACAATGATCCGTTGCTAAAACGTTCTATTTCATCCCAATAACACGAACAGCATTTCGTTATACTAACTCAGTTGACCTTAGCAGTTACATGGTGACCCAAACTACCTGTAAGCGTAAGTTGAGTTTCATTTAAGCATCGACCTAACAAAGAATAATGGAAGAAATTCACAGGTGTCATGAACCAATTGCACAATGATGAACCGGAAATATAAAGATATGCATTTGAGCAGTTTGTGTTCTTATGCCGCACAGATTTTTGCGATACATCCGGACGACGTAACGCGTGACATGCGAATCACTGGTTGAAAGAAAACCTACTTCCTTTGTAAGTATTGGTACTACTTGAAAAACTAGCATCTTTCACACCAACGATCAGTAAACGATAGGGCCAAAGAATGGAACTGAGTAGCCAGGAGTGGACTTACTCCTCGTTATACTGTGCGCAACCAAGACGCCTGGAATGACGTTTGTTGTGCAGCACCTCAGCTTGGTGTTCTTCCACTGCAGGCTGTGTAGCTGTTCCATCGTGCGCCATCAAGGGTGGTCCTGATATCAGGTCCTGCAAAACGAAAAGTTACAGTTCGAACAGGGATGATTGAAGCAGCCTGTCTTTGCGACAGCTAGGAGACAAACGAAGGAAGAGCACACGCCGAAGAACAACAGGTAGCAAATCGCCAATGGTGTTGAAGTCCCTTGCAGCTGTTCATGCATAGGAGAGTAATATCGTTGAATAAGGTCTCGTTGCTATCCGGATGTTGTTCGAAACAGTCACAAACGCCTACTGCAGGAGACGCGGCTCCGCAGAGATCACTGAACAATCCTGTTTCATCTAGTCCTGGGCATATATAATATGTATGTAAAGATTATATATATCCTATCCAATATAGTCATTCAGTGAGCATTTATCTGGCCTCTACATCTAAATATCTAGCAAATACTGTTTTTGATGATCCGTTCTGATATCCGGCCTCATCAATAAATTTCATCAATCAGCGACGATGGTATTAACTGCCGATTACCTTCAACACGATTCTCCAAAATTTCCCACTGTAGAACCAAACTTAACAAATTGTCAGTAAATAAGAACACCTTCCATTCAATTGCAAATAGTTTGGAACCGATTGGGAAGTCATCGTTTCAAAGGGGCTTGGTAAACAATCGGTATGATGTTTGGTATCATTCAAGGAAAGGTAACTTAATAAGACAGAATCGAAGAGGCATGACATTCCTCATCGGAATTCAGCTGATAGTGGTTGATCCAGGAGGAAACACTCCCTACCGAACTACTATTAGTAACGGAGATTTGAGAGTAACCAATGTCAGAAACCTCGAACGTGTTTTTACATCCCAGTCATCTGATAAGAGGTCATCAAAGTGGTCAGGTTATAAGGCAGACGGGGACCCAGTGATTAAGTCCTCTTCGTATTATCGCACTAGATCAGTGTTGAGTGTCAGTTAACGACTCTTGTCGGTCAGTGTGGTTGCCAAAATCTTTCACTGATGCGTTGGAGGAGTTTCAAATTGCTTCCGATCGGCTCTTTTTCCTTGATCTCCAACTGAGAATGCCAGTCGGGCAAGACCTAGTGACGCGTCCGGTGGCTTAACCAATACGGACCATGTGTTCGCAAATTCTCAAGTGACTACGTTCGGTTGGCAAGAGTAGAGGCAAACTGGGAGAACCACCACATGTCCAGTAAAAGATGCTTGAAGCATCTAGTTAAGCCACCCGACGCTTCTGTCCGAATAGCATTCTCAGTCGCCAGGCAAGTTCATATCAGAACCGTAGAGCAAAGAAGAAAAACAAAAGGCCGCCGAGAAACGCGGACGAATATCAAGCGTTACTGAAAGACTCGGTAATTGCGGAACACGCACTGGACATGAGAACAAATAGATTCAGAAAATGTTGAGGTTTTGAGGCGAGGACTGCGGTCCATGTCACAGAGACTGATAACCGAGGCTGTAGAAATCGCCAAACATCCCAGTGTTTGCAGAATAGAAGGCGTGGAACTGGCAAGCGTGTGGAGAACAGTCCTGGATCAGTCGAGCTAATACGTGTTGGTATGCGATTATTAGGAGGAATAATCATCAGCTGAATTCCACTTAACCTTACCCATCTGCTTCCAACCAAATTGTCGCAACACTCACAAGCCCACGAAGATCAGCAAAACTCTACCGGTGGCAGCCGCGCTGAATCATCAATGGAAGCATCCCGAAGTGGAAGATTGAGAAACAAGACGGAAGAGATTTGAAACTCCTCCAAGATTTCGACAACCACACTAACCGACAACAGCCGTTAATTGATATTCAACACTGATCTAGTTTGAAGAGGACTTACTGATTGGTTCCCCGTTTGCATTAAAATCTGGCCAATTCGGTGACTTGCTCAGTTGGCCTGATGAGGCTTTTGTGTCAAAAGCGAAACGTTCTCCAATTAAAAAACTGCCGATTGCTTACCAAGCCCTTCTGAAAAGAACACCTTTCGTTTTATTACAACAGACTGAAGACTGCCTCAGACGATCTCGTGATCCTGTTTGTTGTCACAGGTATGCCTCCGGCCTACGTACCGTCCAGATAAGGCGGTTTTTACTCTGAGTGTGATTAGCTCCTGTCTGCATTTTCACGACAGATAGCTGATACATCCTCTGCATTATTACAGCATTTCATCCTTTGGGTTGCATCCAACATGGATAAAGGTCTCTTGGATGAAAGCCAGAAAGGACGAATGCTTTTGGAACAAAAATACCTGATTATTCCAAATGCTTCCACCACGCATCTGTACATCACGAAGTTATCATTCAGCGGGTGTATTTGGCATACAAATCTGTGATTCTATGCTTCCTGAATCATAAGCCTTTTCTTAAATTGGAAAAGTTTACAACATCTAACCTAGTGTGTCGACGTCCCAGCCAGCTATCATTATTTTGATAGCCAGGTCAGTCTCTCTCTGATCGATGTGTCTGTCATCACAGAGATCCTCTTCAAATAAAAGTATCCTGGATCGTCGTTACAAAGAACTTTTCGTCATGACAAACTGACCCCCAAGTACCCGGAAGCGCCATTCAAATCGTTGGGAGGGAGATTCCCTCAATAGCAAACAAGCCAACGACCCCATCGGAAATAGAGATCAGGAAGTGCCCATCAATGTGTAAACAGAATTTCATCGAGTCTTCCCTGAAAATTGGTCAACTGTAGGTACAAAAAAGCGACATGTAGATCAGGCATCGGGGTAATAAATACCTAGAAACATATAGATTTTTATGAGGGAGCAACAAGGTTGTCCATGTCGACGGCTGCACTTGTATGGATCAATGAGGAATAGGGATATGTATACTCCGTAGGTGCACATCGTTGAAGTTTTACATCGCATTAATCAGTAATACGGCTGCTTCAAGTAGGGTTCCTTAACGACGAACGTTCTCCTCCTTCTTTTGGAATCCAGCAATTTTAAATGGAGCACCTTCCACCAAAACTCCAAATGCGGAAGCCTTAACCTTAATACGTGTTCGACGTGGTGTGTTGCGCGAATTTCCATAAAAAGCCCTCCCTGAACTGTAGACCAAGCGTCCCGTCCAATAATATACGAACAAGTATCACCAATAATCTGTGGTGAATGAAAATATCTGCTTTTTTATTAAAATGGCTGGGGGATGACAGATATTGGATCTGCACGCAGAGGGAGGGTTAGCAAAGAAAAAATTAAAAATCAGTGCTCCCAAATCCTGAAGAAAACAAGTCAACATATGCACTCTTTGTGCATAGACTTGGTTTTCACGGGAAACTCACCTGAAGCCCTGCTGAATCTGTCGTTTATGATAATCTTCAACGGAATATGCCGCATAAAGGCCGCCTCATGTTTCTCGTCGTACGATATTTGAAATATCGTAGTGTATTTTCTTAGAGTAACATTACTCATAAGGTTACTGAAAACATTGACAACCCATGAGACAGCTAGGATTCAGCTAGCTCTCTCGCCGGAGCCAAACTGGTGTGAGAATGAGTGTATTTTGCGAATTTCGTAGAACATAAGGTTGACGAAGATTGTGTCTACCTGAAGAACCCGAATAGGAAGCGCGAAACCGGTTGTGGGCTTTTGAAGAGTTTCTAGCAACCTTGTGAGTAGTTTCCTTCATGAAAATATGATTCACTTCAATTGTCCAATATCTTGAAAAATCTGCTGACACCCGTCAGTTTGAACCACAAATCATGCGCACGCTGAACTCACAAAATCGTTTTCAATGAACTCTGTAAGCTTGTTACGGTATGCTTTCACGTAACCTGACTCGTTTTCGGCAAGTGTGCAATCACCTTGTGTAAATTAATTCGACAACTGCGTCATATTCCCTGCACCCATGAAGGATGGGAACTAACCCCCGCTGATATATTCCACTTTTCTTGATTTGACCTGAGGTGAACTGTAATGTCCTGTGTTACAACATACCAAACGAACAACCGAAAAAGATTAGAGTTACAGAGCCTGGAAGGCCGAAAGCTCCACGGGTCCATCCGTACAGCAATGAAAATACAGAAATCAGGTACTTACCAATGTGGAGAAGTCGGGTGGTTCATCACTTAAAGGTAACAGCTGATTATCTGTGGTTGCAGCACTTGTTGCAGGCGGGTTACGCGTTGGACTTGGCGATGAGCGTGAAGGGACTGCAGCCACACCATCGAAAGAAGATTCTGGGGGATGTGGTTCTGACTCATCTTCCGAAGAATGAGATTCTATGACAGCAACTCGAAAAGACTTATGTCGATCAAGCTCCGATCCAACGCAGAAGTCAGGTGGGCTCTAAGGGACAAGGGAGAGAATAGAAGGTACCAACCTGTTAGTGACCATGAGGAATCTGTGATTTTCAGTCGTACGATAAAAGAGTGCAACAAGGAGCGAATGCTGCAAGCGTGCAAATTCGTGGCAAAGACGGTGAAAACATGATGTCTGCAAAAGGTGGAAAAGGGAAAAGACACTGGAAACAGGAGGAATGTTTCAAAGCCTATCCATTTTAGTAGACGAATAAACGGCCGAAAAGATCAGTCACGTTTACCGAAGAGAACTATGCACGGAACAGATCCAAAAGTATGAGTAAATGACTGTGGTGTAGGTGAAGCGAAGTCATGCACGAAAATGGCAGTCACGAACGACCAAAACAAGTCAGCTGAAAACATATGGGAACATATATCAATGGTCAATAACAATGGTCACCACAGGGAGTCCGATTTCATATTTTGTTTGCCGCAACGTCTAGTAATGGTCCAGTTAAAAGTAACAAGTTTATTAGCGGCACAATAGGTGGTCAAGTTTCAAAGTATATCTATCCCATTGTTTATTCATATTAGTGTTGTTTGAGATTGGTAAACCGGAAACATTTGGCGGGTAACGTGTGGTGACTGGTGACCACTGGAATAAACTCAATGTGGAGCCAAATCAAGTTACACTTTACCATCACCCTCACCATTGATAGCAATACATACTGGTGCTTGACTGCCGTAAACGACGCAGCATCAGACCTTCTAAAAAGGCCACCCAGAATAAAGACCATGGATACTCGATGAGTGCAACGTTTCTCGACCCTATGAAATTTACTAAGCTATCTCCCTCTCACACAGCCGTATCTAAAGACCAATTGGTTCATCTCTCAAAACCGTTCTCTAAGAAGGGGCACCAGTATTTGCAAACGACGAAAAGGGAGGTTAATCAGTTCTGAGGCTACTTATAAGCCTGCTAAGGATTGCGGGGACTCTACTAGTTCCGCGGTCCAAGTGCTGTGCATCGATCCACTAATCCTGCTCCAGAATCTGCCAGAGTCTGCCTCTGAATTATTGATTGCGTCTAGGCGACATGCCCACGACTGGTTCCAGCTGAGGTAGGACAACTATCAATCAGACCCATAGTCGGTTGCGTTGCATGAAAGGTTTTAAGAGCAAAGTCTGAAAGGAACTTCATGGGTGGTTAGTCATGGACGTTAAGGAAAACATGCTCGTTTCGCCATGCTTCCGTCTAGCTTGTACTGAATGAATTCGGTCACTATCTCCCTTGAAATCAAATATATTAACTAAATGAGATACGAATTAAAATGGTACCCATGAAAGGAGACTATTTTACTGCGTAGTACAATTGACAAGGGCTATGGATAGAGAGGATGCAGGTGTTAACGGTTTGCTTTCATCATTCAAACGGATAATAAGGTTAGATTCCGCTGGCTAGTTTGTTGTCTTTGTTTTCGAAAAATTTCGGTGACAAATCTACCGATTGTCATCAAATAAACATAGCATCGAGATGATTTGCTTGCTGGAAAAACTAACGTCTCTTTTGTGACAAAACACTGTAATGAAAATGTGCCCAGATGGCTTGGATTATTTCATATCGAGTTCTCACGATTAGAGACACAAAACAGCTGGACAACGTGTTTCACTAGAGCTTTGGACACTATAAATGGAGGTGGAAAATCCGGCATACAATCATTATCCTTAGAAGAAAAGAAGCAACAGTAATAAAAACTAGGGCCTTAGTGTCTTACACTTAAGACCATTCGTCTTAAAGTGGCACTGCAGATGAAAAGGGACGAAACGGATAGGCGGAGAAGTTGACGGCCTAACCCTATAAAAGCAAAAAGCCAACGCACATTAAGTGCTCAAAGGATGAAATGATGACATTGGGCCACCATGGACTAAATATTGAGACAGGAAGCTGTCACCAGTTCCAGAACAGGAAATAGTAAACACCAGCTCCGCATATCTAAGAAGGATTACGCGAGTATTAAAAGAAGTCAGAATATTGAACTATCAAATGTCAGTTCTGAAAGATCAGCCAGTAAACTCCAAAATAGTACTACTATGATGCACAATACAGCACGCAACCAGTGGCAACACAAGTGTTACTTTTGACTACGACTAGGTAAGAAAACCAGCAACCGCTGCAGTCACTCTCTTGCCCAGAAGAGTTGTGAAACCATGGGATGAAATCAAAAAACCATGAGCCTACAGAATATTCATTTCGAAACTGCAGTTTGGGAGGAAAACGGCCCACAAGTAAGCACAGTAACCCTCTTCTACTGTGCAAATCACCTATTGCAAATGCGTCAGGTTTTATCTAGAGACATGTGAACAAGCACATACTGCAGACATCACCACTAACTACAGCGCATTCATAAACAGCAAGTTCAACATCCGATTCATGGAAATAAGGTGCATATAGAACCAGTCTAGATGATTTCTCATATATTTTCACCACATTACGGTTTCTCTAACACAAAAATTGATGCCACCTGAAAAAAACAGGTGACTACATCTCACCGAACTCAGTCTTCATGTGGAAAACAGTTCGCCATTAGGACAGTGCAACATAGAAAGCTAAATTCAGGCACTGATCGATAATGGAATAAGGCAACAGCTTGAACACTGAATGGTAAAGCCAACGTACTTGTGTCAAAGAAGGAATTTGAACCAATGCTTTGAAATACTGGATACGGGATGCCTTCTGGAAAAATGCTGCCAGATTGTCATGCAAATATGCGAACCGTTCCCGATGCCCAGTCATTGCATCAATCCCCAAAAGTTCGTGAAGCTTGAATAAAATGTGCACAATAAGATCGTATACCGCAGCTGCATCCTGAAGACAAAGAAGCAAGGGATTCATTTTGCACTGAGCCGCAGGAGTGCAGACCGCTACGCCCTCTAGCTCCACAGCAGCAATAATTGCCTCATGAAAGCGGAGTATTTCTTCAAGAAAGTCCATCAAGTCGATACTAAACTGGAATCTACAGCAGACAGCAAACAGAGTGTGTTTAAAGGCTTGTAGTTATTCAAAAGCACAAAAAAAGTTATAAAAGTGAATTATGTCCGGGTAGACCCAGACCACAACCATGCAACACTACTTTAAAGGAAATTGCCCAAAAAAGTGCCAAAGGTGATTGCCGAAGTGCCCCTGGGGAAATGGTCGGGATTCCGTGGTCACTTCGCTGACGTTTTGACGTCAGACACTTACGGACTATTGCTAAATAGCGCAAATAATTTATCATTAAGACTATAGCCAAACGACGGTGCTTCACCGTCACAGTAGCTAACAAAGAGACGGTTCAGGGTCCGACTCAATAAATCAACAACCTGGTTGGTTCTTGACAACCTTTTGTAGACAAAATGTCTATCCATTCTATGATTGAGCGTTACCACCACGCCGCCTTTCGGAAATTCGCGATGGAGGTGCGGGTTAGAGGAGGCCTAGGAGTGAGGCACCGCCTCATCAGAACCTGACCTGAAGGCTGTCTTATATACAGTATTCGCTAGGCGTAAAGATTCCTCTAAACTAGCTTGATTATTCCTCCAATTCACTTAAACACGGTGTAAACACACTCGCCGACTCATACGGATTTTTCTCACTTGTCATCGCTGTTGCGTCTACTGTTAACCTTCACACATCATCATCATCATCATCATCAACGACAGCATGACATCAGTGCTCAACACCGATGCTTCACTGCCGTACAACCATGACTTATTTGAAAGCCTTATTGTAAAGAAAAGAATAAAGGTGGA